GGGCCCGGGCTGGATTCGAACCCGCCACCTTGGGTGTACGTGGCTGGCGCCTTAGCCACTTGAGCCACAGGCACCGAACCTGTAATTTTTTTTTTTTTTTTGAGACAGAGTTTCACTCAGTCACCCTGGGTTTGAGTACTGTGGCGTCATAGCTCACAGGAACCTCAAACTTTTAGGCTCAAGCGATTCTCTTGTCTAAGCCTCCAGAGTAGCTGGGACTACAGGCACAGGCCACAACACCTGGCTATTTTTAGAGATAGGGTCTTGCTCTTGCTCAGGCTGGTCTTGAACCTGTGAGCTCAGGCAGTCCACCTGCCTCAGCCTCCCAGAGTGCTAGGATTACAGGTGTGAGCCACTGTGCAGAGCATTTTCCACAAGTATTTATTGAGTTCTCATAACATGCCTAACACCAGGAATACAAAAACAAATAGAAATAAGGCTGTATAGGTTTATTTAGTCAATAAAACTGATTGAGCACCTTTGTGCCAGGCACTGCTTCAGCTGCATCAGAAGCAAAATTACAACCAATCCCTGATCTTGGAGTGGCATGTGGACAAGTCTTGCCACTGAGGTCAGCATGGCATAGTAACAGGTTTGATTTGGGCAGGAGAGAGCCTGACTTATTCATAATATTAGATAAGAGGTAGTGAGGGCAGCACCTGTGGCTCAGTGAGTAGGGCACCGGCCCCATAGACTGAGGGTGGCAGGTTTGAACCTGGCCCCAGCCAAACTGCAAAAAAATAGCCAGGCGTTGTGGCAGGTGTCTGTAATCCCAGTTACTGAGGAGGCTGAGGCAAGAGAATCACCTAAGCCCAAGAGCTGGAGGTTTCTGTGATGCCGCGGCACTCTACTGAGAGTGATAAAGTGAGACTCTGTCTCTAAAAAACAAACAAACAAAAAAGAGGTAGTGTATATCCAGCAGACTTTTTGGTATCCTGCCAACACCCTGATTCTTGTCCATCAATCTTCTGTTTGTAGAATTGATAGGAGAGCACTATGGGATAGAGGGCCTTAAGAGGGGAAGCAGTCATTATGCCCTCAGGGCCCAGATGTTTAGGAATGTAAATTATAAATCCTATTTAAAACAAAAGAAAGGGAACAGAATATTGGCAGAGGCAGGTGGTATTTAACAGGAATTTCTATTAAATGGATAACTCCCTTGTAGGCTTACAGTCACACAAAACAGATTGTATAAATCCACAGGGCAACCTGAATGCCCCCTCTACCACTCCCTTCCCTCAATCCCATGAGCCCAAATGGGCAGTTAAATAAAATGTGTACAGCCTCATGATGAAACTGTCAGGTGCATTATAAGTATCAGGACTGAGGGTACTGGTTGGCTTGCAAGTTTATGGCTCCAGAGTAGGGAAGGGTGGGAGTGCAGCACTGGTGAGTCCATAATCCAGCTCTCTGATGGCAGGAGTGAAATGACCTCAATCTTGAGAAGCCCTCAGGCTCTCCAGCTCACTCTAGCCCTGATCAAGCCTGATGCAGTTGCCCACCCACTGATTCTGGAGGTAAGAACAAATCCTAGGCCTCTATTCTATGCTCTGGGCATTGCTACTGTTTCAGATGTTACAGGGCCACTTGTGGCAAATGACAACATAGTGTGGTGCCAGATGCTGTGGAAGCAAATCCAGAACTCTTGACCCGAAGGAGACTAAAAAATCTAGTAGAGACTAGACAGATCTAAAATATAAGAAAGAACCCAGTACAATAATAAAGAGAACCAAAATCTCAAGACAATGTATATGTATTAGTTTCTATTTCTACATTAACAATTTACCACACACTTCAGAGCTTAAAGTAATACTTAGCCAACTGGGCCCTTACCTGGAAAATCTAGGGAGGATTCCACTTCCAGGCTTATTTAGGTTTTGGCAGTTTTTTCAATTCTCGTTATCATAGGACTGAGGTCCCCATTTCCTTGCTGGTCTTCAGGCAGAAGCTGCTCTCACTTTCTAGAAATCACTCACATTCTTTGTCACAGGCCCACTGCATCTTTAAGACAGCAGCAGTGCCTCAGATCCTTCTCTGACTTCACCTTTAGTCTCCAGCCAGAAAAAACTGCTTTACAGGTCTCATGTGATTAATTAGGTCCACCTGGCTAATCTCCCTTTAGCAAAGTCAACTGATTAGTAACCTTAATTACTTTTGCAAAATCCATTCAATTAAATAATGTAATATAATCATGTTGTATCATATTCATAGTTCTGGGGATTAGTGTGGGAAATCTTGGTGGATGTGGGGGTCATTTTGGGATTCTGCCTACCATAGTTTGATAAGTACTGGGCAGTACTAAGTCAGTCCACTGTGTTGCAGAGGAAGAGTAGAGCAGTCAGGAATAGACAGGAAGTGGTGGGACTTGGCCAAGCCTCAAAGGGAGGATAGTATTGATTAGTGACAGGAGGAGGATGGGTAGGAACATGTGTGATGGGTCTGAGCACCCCCAGCAGCCTGGGTTGTTGAGACTAGAGACTTGAAAGTGGTAGAGGGCAAGGAAAGTGCAGCCTTGAGTACTGGGTTGAAGTGGTTGAACTTCATTCTTGAAATAATAGGAACTACCCAAAACCTGACTAGAGTGTGACATGTAAATTATAGGGTTTTTAGTCTATCAAGTGTGATGCTTTGGAGAGGAAAAGAAACTAAGGCAGGACAACTAGGAAAAGACTTTTATAGTGGTCTGGGTGGTGGGTCTTGTGAATTCAAGGAGCTATAAGCATGGAAGGACAGAAACAGCACTTCCTATTCCCTTCTACCCACACTCACACTCTGGCTATGTGACTGAAGGTCTTGACATCACCCCACCTTTTTCTTCTGACTTACCAATGGGACAGACCCTCAAGTCCTACACCCCAAGGGGTCCTCATGGTTTCTTTTGGTCATCTTGGGTTTCCTGGTTGATTTTTATTTTGGGGGTGGTCTTTATCCAGGCTGTTCATCAGCAGATTCTGAGCAACAAGTTCCTTATTGTACGAATGAAAGAACTCCTGTGGAGAAAAGAAGATTGCCAGAGGTTTTATCAAGAGCATGAAGGTAGGACCAGTAGTCCTATAAGAGAGATGTGAGCTGGAACATATAATGGTGGGCTCTCTCTGGCCTGCCAACTGTATAAAATTGTGGTCAAGTCTTCTGGAATATTGGTTTATACACAAATTTTTTGTGATTATTATCTATTTTTTTTCTACAGAGGTTCTACCTCTTCATAGTCCCAAATTAATTTTATGTCCTGATAATATCAGTAATCTTTAGCAAATGTTTACTCTATCAGACATCACCTAAACACTCATTATTTTAATTCTCTGAACAACTCTAAAAGGTAGGTATTGTTATTTCCCCCTACACAGATTAGTGAACTGAGTGAGGAAAGTGAATGACTCACTTGAAACTAGATAGGTTTGTAAGTGACAGAGCCTGGATTCAGACCCAGATTTGTCAAACTCCAAGATCAAGATCCTTGCTTTTTTTTCTTTTTTTTTTT